GGATAGACTAGGAAATTATTAGTCAGTTGGTTTAATGGCTGGTTTGTGATGCAGAGTGATGCCAACAGTGTGGGTTCAGTTCCTGCACCAACTGAGGTTACCATGAAGGACTCTCCTTCTCAACCCCTCACCTTGTCTGAGGCATGGTGACCCTCAGGTTAAACCAGCATCAGTCGTCTCTCTCTCTAGCGAGAGAGCAGCCCTACGGTCCTCTGGCACTATGGTGTCTTTACCTTCTGGCCAGTGGTGGCGAAGTTATTCGAAAAATTCTGAGGGGCAGAATATGTCTGCGCTTGGAGAGACACAGATTAATCGGGGATAGTCAGTATGGATTTATGTGGAAAAGTCATGTTTAACAAAGTTGAATTTTTTTGAGGAGGTAACCAGGAGTGTTGATGAGGGCAAGACATTTGATGTGGTTTACATGGACTTTAGCAAGGCTTTTGATCAGATCCCTCACGGTAGACTGGTCAAGAAAGTAAGAGACCATGGGTTCTGAGGCAAAGTGACACATTGGCTCTAAAATTGGGTGACAGGCAGGAAGTAAAGGGCAATGGTGGAGGGATGTTTCTGTGACTGGAAGTATGTTTGCAGTGGGGTTCTGTAGGCTCTGGTGCTGGGGCTGTTGCATTTGGGGTCTACATTAATGATTTGGAATTAAATGGAGGGGGGTATGATCGAGAAATTTGCAGTTGACACAAAATATGATTGGTGATACATAGTGAGGAGGATAGCTGTGAACCTCAGGAAAATATCGACAGATTGGTCAGCAAATGAAATTCAACCTTGAAAAGGCGAGATAATGCATTTGGGGAGGGTTGACAAGGTGAGGTATTACACTGTGAATGGTTGGACCCAGGAAAGTGCTGAAGATATGAGGGAGCTTGGTGCAAATTCACAGATCCCTGAACGTACAGGGCAGGTAGATAACATGGTTAAGAAGGCACAAAATATAAGAGTAGGTAGATTATGCTGGAACTGTATAAAATACTAATTAGACCACAACTAGGATACTGTGTGCAGTTCTGGAGGGATGTGTTTGAACTAGAGAGTGTACAGAGGAGATTACCAGGATCCTGACTGAGCTCTGAGGAAAGATTGGATAGATTGGGGTTGTTTTCCTTAGAGCAGTGAAGATGAGAGAGACCTGATGGAGGGGTATAATAAGGGGAATAGACAGAATGGTTAGGAAGGCAGCTTTTCAATTAATGGAGGGGTCAATAACCAGAGGGCATTGCTTTAAGGTAAAAAAAGCTGAAAGTTGATCAGAACTGTTCTCACTCAGAGGGTGGTGGGAATCTGGAACTCATTGGCAGAATGGGTGGGTAAGTCAGGAACTCTGGTAACGTGGAAGCAGTATGTAGGTGTTCACTGGCTTGGTCGTATTCTCAAGGGCTATGGGTGAAAAGCTGGAAAATGGGATTAGTGTAGTCAGATCTTTGTTGACTGCTAACATGATTGGCCGATTGGCCAATTGTCCTCTTTCTGTGCTGTAAAAGTCTATCATGTAGGAAGTGTGCCTTTTTGTGCTGAGTCATAGTCATCAATATCATAGTCTTGTATCATTCTTTCTCCCCTCAATTTCCTATCTGGGGCTCTTTTGCTAATTACCTTAAACGTTGTCCTCTGGTTATTGCTGCTCTCATTGGAGAGAAGACCTTTTCTTGCCTTCTCTGGATCTCCTAGTTTGCAAAGTGAAACTCCCAGACAGTACTGTTGATGAGACACAGCAATATTTCCCTGCAGCAAATGCTGCTGCTTGGAGCTGCTCCCCTACAGCACCCAGAGAGAACATTGGGGTACAGTCTCTCAGAGGAATGGGGTATATCACCCAGTCTGCTGCTCCTTAATAACTCATTGTATCTTTTCAGGCCTGTATGTATGTCTGTTTCGCCTGCCCTTTTGATGTAGTTGCTTCCAAAACAAGTATCTGTCTCCTGTCTTGGGACCTCTTATAACAGTGTTATGTGTCTCTACCACTGAGCAAGGAGATCAGGGTTCATGTCCCACTTGCTCCAGAAATATGTAATAATATCTCTGTCTCCTTTCTTATTCACCTTCAGTTGTCTTTTATAAAATGAAAAAGACACACTTGCATTCTCATTAGCACCTTTCACGTTCTCGGAACATCCCAAAGTCCCTGCTAGTTGATGAAATACTTTTGAGGTATGGTCCCTGTTGTAATTGTATCAGGGATTGCCATGGTTGGTTCATTTTTACAAAGCAGAGTGTTGTAGGAACCTGAGAAGAAATAACGGATGGAAGGGAAAATGAGCTGAAATTGAGATGGCCTACTTGACTTTCTCATGACCTTTGAGGAGGGAAATCTACTATCTCTACCCAGTCTGGCCACGTGACTCTAAACTCACAGCACTGTGGCTGGCTCTCAACTACCCTCTGAAATGGCCCAGACAGGATGTCCAAGATCTGAGGAGCAGGTTTTGTGAAGAAAAGCTGTGGAGGTTCCTCCTAGAACATATGTCAAGTCTCCTCCACATTGGCGAAAATGAAGCATAGACTGGGGTGAATGCTTTGCAGAGCACCTGCCTTCTGTCTGCAAAAAAGACCCTGAGCTTCCAGTTGCCTGCCACTTCAATACACCACAGTGTTCCCTGGCCAACATCTCTGTTTCAGGCTCGCTGCAGTGTTCCAGCAAAGCTCAGCACAAGCTGGGAGAACAAGACCTCATTTTCCGCTTGAGGACCGTTGTAGCCTTCTGGACTCAGGACTGAGTTCAATAATTTCAGGGCCTGAGCACCTTCTCCAATGTTCTTACCCCAACTCCCACACACCAAGTCACGTCATCACATGGGCTTCTACCACAACTGACCCATTGTCAGCCACTAATAGTCCCCGTCAGCCGCTATTCATTCTCCCAGGCTGATCGTTATCCACTCCTTTATCTGCCCAACTGTTTTTCTGTCTCTTTGGGCTCTATCCCAATCTGTCGTTTACTCCTCTCCTCTTCCCCCACCCTATCTTCTGCATAAATACTAACTTTTTTCTAGCTATCATCAGTTCAGAGGAAAGGACCGGAAATGTTAACTCTGATTTCTGTCCACCGATGCTGCCAGACCTTTTCCAGCAACTTCTGCTTTTGTTTCCAGCATCTGCAGTTCCTTTGGTTTTTTATTTGTTACAATGGAGCAGGGCTCAAAACCATGAGCAGTTTCGATAGAGTGAATGAGGAGAAAGTATTTGCAGTGGCAGGGAAGTCAGTAACTGGAAGACTCTGATTGTGGTGATTGATTCTAAAACCAGGCGTGTGACTTTTCTGACTTCTTTTTATGCAGCCATGTGTTTTGATTTCAGAATGTGCTGCCTGAAAGGGTGGCAGAAGCAGATATAAAACAACGCCCCAAATTGAACGGAAAGGTGGGAAACCTTGCAGGGCTATGAGGGGCGGTGGAGGGAGCAGTGTAACAGTCATTAGACTAGTAAACCAGAGACTATAAAGTTCTGGGGATGTGGGTTCAAATTCTAACAGGGTGGATGAAACCAAAATTAGTCTTTACAGCAACCAGGGAACATTGTTGCTTGTTTTAAAAACCCATCTGGTTATAATGTCCTTTTAAGGCAGGAAAACTGCCATCCTTACGTGTTCTAAATAACAAAAGCTGCATGAGAATCCACATTTGCAGCAATATGGCTGATTGTTAACTGCCCTCCGAAAGCATTGAGCAAGGTACTCAGTTCAAGAGCAATTAGGGATGGGCAATAAATGCAGCTCTCATCAGCGACAGCCACTTCCGTGAAAGATTAAGTTGTTTAAAAAATGTAAAATGCCTGGATTCTGACACATGGAGGAGGAAATGCGCATCAGGGCAACAAGGAGAAGGTAGCTCAGACAGTAAAACAGAAATTGCTGAAAAAGCTCAGCAAGTCTGGCAGCATCTGTGGGGGGAGAGAGAGAAATCAGAGTTAACGTTTCAGGTCTTTTGGTTTTTATTTAGAAGATAGCTCAGAGCAAGTAACGAGTTGTATCGACCGAGTAATGAAGGATGATTTAAAGACTCGAGGGACAACAAATTGCGTTGATGTTGTACCTTCTAACATGGTATAACAAAGGGACTTCAGAAGAGCAGCTATCAAACACAATTTGACATCAACAGGTAGTAGATAAGCAGCAACAGGTAGTGGATAAATCTTGATCAAAGCAGTCACAATTGAAGAGCATCTTAAAGGAGCAGAGGAGAGGTTAATGGAGGGAATTCCAGAGCCAAGGAGCCAGACACTGAAGGCCCGGCTACCTACGGAGGGAGGGGTGAAAGAATGGAGGAAGGCAAGGGAGAGCATAGTTGGAGGAATGCAATGCCCTGGGGAGTGTGGGAGGGTTGGAGGAGGGTCAGGCATCTTGTTTATGCTGCAGCTGTATAGGGTGTTGGTGAGGCCACACCTGGAGTACTGTGTACAGTTTTGGTCTCCTTGCGAAAGGATGTACTGGCACTGGAGGGGTTGCAGAGGAGGCTTACTGGGTTGGTTCCGGAGTTGAGAGGGTTGACGTATGGGGAGAGATTGAGTACACTGGGGCTATACTCATTGGAATTTAGAAGAAAGAGGAGGGACCTTATACAAACATATAAAATTACGAAGGGAAGAGATAAGTTAGAAGCAGGGAGGCTGTTTCCACTGGCAGGTGAAACTAGACAAGAGGGCATAGCCTCAAACTAAGGGGGGAACAGCTTTAGGACTGAATTGAGGAGGAACTTCTTCACCCAAAGGGTTGTGAATCTGTGGAATTCCCTGCCCAGTGAAGCAGTTCAGGCTTCCTTGTTGAATGTTTTTTAAGGCAAAGATAGATTTTTGAGCAGTAAAGGCATTAATGGTGAGCAGGTGGGTAGGTGGAGCTGCCAAAAGATCAGCCATGATCATATTGAATGGTGGAGTGGGCTCGATGGGCCAGATGGTTCTTATGTTCTTAATCCGTTTGGTTAATGCAGGAGAACACGCCTCCATCTTCCTTCCTGTGGCCTAACGTGTCTCTTTTTTTTTCTTTCCAGTGCCTTGAAAAATTTCCAGTCATCCAGCACTTCAAATTCGGCAGCTTGCTCACCATCAACCCAGTGGGATCCTGAGCTGAAGGACACGGTGGGGCCCCAGAAATGTGGGCAGCCAGGAACCAACTTACCCCATCAGCTGCAAACAAACAAACTTCCACCAAACAAAAACCCATGACTACTTTATTTTTCCCTTTTTTAATAACATTTGTTTTCTCTCTCGGTTTCGTTTCAAGTTCGGACATGGCATATCTCTGGAGTGAAATGGCATGGATTTTAATTGGGCGGGGGCAGTTGCACTTCCTGGGTGCAAATGGGCATCGAGTCTGCTGCAAGGGTTTCATTACTCCTCTCTCCGATGCAGATCTGCCTCTCGGTCATGACGATAGAAGCCAACCTGATAACATGCTTTTCGATTCCTGCTGTTGTCCAGGCATTGCCTGCTCAGTGATTGCCCATGGGGGGTGTGCTTCCTCTGTCGTTGCTGTGAAATCTCCATCGTGCTTCTCTGCATCTTGTGGTCTGCCCCCTTTCCATTCAGCCAGTGTCAGAGTTCACAGTCCTCTGCACTTGGTTTGAAAATTGCTGTGTCCCTAAACCACCCCTGCCCACCATCCAGTTTAAGTTTAGATTAAAAATAAAAAAAAATTAGAGCTTCTGTGTCCGACTATAAAACAGTTTGAAAAGAGCTCAACCCTTTGGCACGGCTGGGTAAAAGAAATGTTTAACAAAATAGTATTAAAATCTGGAGAATGTGCCTTTGATCCATCGGAAAAGGACTAGAGCAAATTAAATCCACCAGGTGGCATTTTAATTTTGAAGGAATCGTTTTGGATATTTGCCTAAAATAGTGTGCTTCCTTGGTCCAAGGTTGTTCTCTGTTCTCTCTCTCTAGTGCTGCAGCCCTGAGTCAGAGAGAATGGATGCTTTTAATAAAATAATTCACTCTATGAAAAGTAGAGGTTTCATTTTAATGCAAAGTGGCGCAGTTCTTTGAAGCAGGAAGGTATTTTGCCTCGCTACACCAGCCTCCTCCCGCCTCCATCCATACCCTCCACTCAGCACCCACTGCATCATTTCTGTGGATTTGGAGTGTTGGCTTTTAAATAAGTGAACCATCTCCTGAATGTGTTGGATTTATTCACAGTCTACCATTCCTCTTTAAGCAGTAAATCAACATCTTCGTGACAAAGTATTAGGCAATGCAGTATTTAAAGGACTTTGAGAATGTCGGCCCTTTTACAGTGTGTTTGCGTGTGTCTCAATCAGGAACACCCAGAGGGCTCTGCCTGAAATGTTTATCAATGACATTTAAACCCCTCACTGGAACCCACTCCTGTGATGTTATAAGCATCTAATTAAAGAAAAAGCATTAAAGAGACTGTGGTTTCTCCAAAAAAACAAACTGTTTGGGGAACCTTTCTTTCTGCATGTCTCTGCCATTTTGCCAATTCTGCACGTGAGAAATGCTCAGCTGATTTTAGGTTCGATCAGGTTCAATCCCTGGTCTGTGCTGAGGCGAGTGAGTGAGGGTCAATACAGTTGGCCTTGATTTTCTCAGGCCAAGGGAATGGACAGTGGATTTGGGCTAATATTGAGGTGAAGCCCACTGAATTATTCAGTATGGGTAGCTGTTCCATTTACTGAAGGTTCAAAGACTAGTCAAAGGACTAATTAAGGATAGTCAACTTGGTTTAGTGCGTGGGAAATCATATTTCCCTAACTTGATTGAGTTTTTTGAGGAAGTAACAAAGAGGATTGATGAGGGCAGAGCAGTGGACATGATCTATATGGATCTCAGTAAGGTGTTCGACAAGGTTCCTCGTGGTAGGCTGGGTTTTTTTTAATAGAATCCCTACAGTGTAGAAACAGGCCACCGACTCCTCAAAGAGCATCCCACCCAGACAGTCCTCCCCACCACCGCGTCCCCCACCCCACTGGTGTGCCACAAGGATCGGTGCTGGGTTCACTGTTTTTTGTCTTTTATATAAATGACCTGGATGGTGAACATAGGAGGTATGGTTAGTAAGTTTACATATGACACTAAAATTGGAGGAGCAGTGGACAGCGAAGAAGGTTACCTTGGAGTATGATGGAATTTTGATCAGATGGGCCAATGGGCCGAGGAGTGGCAGATGGAGTTTAATTTAGATAAATGTGAGGTGCTGCATTTTGGAAAGGCAAATCAGGGCAGGACTTATACACTTAATGGTAAGGTCCTGGGGAGCGTTGCTGAACAAGGAGATCTTGAGGTGCAGGTTCATAGTTAGAACATAAGAACTAGGAGCAGGAGTAGGCCGTCCGGCCCCTCGAGGCTGCTCCGCCATTCAATAAGATCATGGCTGATCTTTTCGTGGACTCAGATCTACTTACCCGCATTCTCACCGTATCCCTTAATTCCTTTATTGTTCAAAAAAAATCTACCTTATCTTTAAAAATGTTTACTGAAGTAGCGTCAACTACTTCACTGGGCAAGGAATTCCGTAGATTAACGACCCTCTGGGTGAAGAAATTCTTTCTCAATTCAGTCCTAAATCTGCTCCCTCTAATCTTGAGGCTATGCCCTCTTGTCCTAGCTTCACCTGCCAGTGGAAACATCCTCTCTACTTCTATCTTATCTATTCCCTTCATAATTTTATATGTTTCTATAAGATCCCCCCTCAATCTTCTGAATTCCAATGAATATAATCCCAATCTACTCAGTCTCTCCTCATAAGCCAACCCCCTCAACTCCGGAATCAACCTAGTGAACCTCCTTTGCACCCCCTCCAGTGTCAGTACATCCTTTCTCAAGTAAGGGGACCAAAACTGCACACAGTACTCCAGGTGTGGCCTCACCAGCACCTTGTACAGCTGCAACATAACCTCTCTGCTTTTAATTTCAATCCCTTTAGCAATGAAGGACAAAATTCCATTTGCCTTCCTAATTACTTGTTGTACCTGCAGACCTACCTTCTGTGATTCATGCACAAGGACACCCAGGTCCCTCTGCATAGCAGCATGCTGCAACTTTTTACCATTCAAGTAATAATCCTTTTTACTATTACTCCTACCAAAATGTATGATTTCACATTTATTTACATTGTATTCCATCTGCCAGACCTTTGCCCACTCACTCAATGTATCTATGTTCCTCTGCAAAGTTTCACAGTCCTCTGCACACTTTGCTTTGCCACTCATCTTAGTGTCATCTGCAAACTTTGACACCCTACACGTGGTTCCCAACTCCAAATCATCTATATAAATTGTAAATAATTGCGGTCCCAACACCGATCCCTGAGGCACACCACTAGTCACTGACTGCCAGCTGGAATAGCACTCATTTATCCCCACTCTTTGCTTCCTGTTGGTCAACCAATCCTCTATCCATGCTAATACTTTACCGTTAATGCCATGCATCCTTATCTTATGCAGTAGCCTCTTGTGCGACACCTTGTCGAAGGCCTTTTGGAAATCTAGGTACACCACATCCACTGGGTCCCCATTGTCCACTTTGCTCGTAATGTCTTCATAGAATTCCAAAAGATTTGTCAAGCATGACCTGCCCTTCATGAACTCATGCTGCGTCTGCCCAATGGGACAATTTCTATCAAGATGCCTTGCTATTTCTTCCTTGATAATAGACTCAAGCATCTTCCCCACTACAGAGGTTAAGCTAACCGGTCTATAATTCCCCATCTTTTGTCTACTTCCCTTTTTAAACAGTGGCGTCACATTTGCTGTTTTCCAATCTGCTGGGACTGCCCCAGAGTCCAGCGAATTTTGGAAAATTACCACCAGTGCACCTGCTATTTCTCCCGCCATCTCTTTTAGTACCCTGGGATGCATTCCATCAGGGCCAGGAGACTTATCAATCCTTAGCTCCATTAGCTTGCCCAACACTACCTCTTCCGTAATAATGATTGTTTCCAGGTCCTCACCTACCTTCATCTCTTTGTCAAATACTGGCATGTTATTAGTGTCCTTCACTGTCCTCCAGTCTACTTTAGCTAAGTCCTCCCTCATTTTATTGTAGTTCCCCTTGTTCAAGCACAGGACCCTGGTATTGGATTTTATCTTCACACTCTCCATCTGTATTCTAAATTCAACCATAGTTCCTCGAAAGTGGGGTCACACGTAGATAGGATAGTGAAGAAGGCATTTGGTATGCTTGTCTTTATTAGTGCATTGAGTATGGGAGCTGGGAGGTCATTTTGCAGCTGTACAGGACATTGGTTAGGCCACTTTTGGAATACTGTGTTCAATTCTGGTCCCCCTGCTGTAGAAAGGATGTTGAGAAACTTGAAAGGATTTTTCAGAAAAGATTTAAGAGGATGTTGCCAGCTTAGCAGGTTTGATTTATAGAGAAAGACTGAATAAGCTGGGGATATTTTCCCTGGAGCATCAAAGACTGAGGGGTGACCTTATAGAGGTTTATAAAATCATGAGGGGCATAGATAGGGTGAATAGACAAGGTGTTTGTGCCAGGGTAGGCGAGTCAAGAACTAGGGGACAATAGGTTTAAGATGAGAGGGAAAAGATTTAAAAAGCACCTGAGGGTCAACTTTTTCACACAGAGGGTGGTGTGTGTATGGAATGAACTGCCAGAGGAAGTGGTGGAGCCTGGTACAATTACAACATTTAATCTGGATGGGTACATGAATAGCAAGGGTTTAGAGGGATATGGGCTAAATGCAGGCAAATGGGACTAGATGAATTTAGGATATCTGGTCAGTATGGATGAGTTGGACCGAGGATCTGTATAGTTCTATGACTCAAAGTTAGGACTGTGTCTGTTTGAGAGAAAGCCACGAGGAAACTCGACAGAAAATTTCAAAATCACGGAGTGTCTGGACAGAGTCGGTACATTGAAACACTTCCTGCTCATAAAAAGTTCAAGAACCACAGATTTAAAGTAATTTGCAAAAGGAAGCAAGTGCCAGGTAAGAAAAGCCTTTTTCACACAGAGTGGTTAGGATGTGAAATGCATTGCCTGGAAGTATGAAGAAGACAGGTTCAACTGAAGAGGTCAGCTGGACCAAAAAAAAATCCCCAAAAAACTGTGGATGCTGGAAATCAGAAACAAAAACAGAAATTGTTGGAAAAGCTCAGCAGGTCTGGCAGCATCTGTGGAGAAAGAAATCAGAATTAACATTTCGGGTTTAGTGACCCTTCAGAATGCAGACATTGGATGATTATTTGAATAGAGGTGTCATGCAAGGTTACAGCGAAAAAGCAGCAGATCAGCACCAAGTCATTTGGAGAGCTTATCGGATGATGGGCTGAATGGCTTCTATCATCTTGGCTCAGATCTTGTAACCGCTTCTGGAAGTTAGTAGGAATAAGGACAAAGAGGTGCAATCTCGCAGACTCGATGCAGACTAGGACCAGATCTGTCCTAGAGTTGTGGCAATCTGGCAAGGCAGAACATGATGATCTCCAGTTGGGGAATTACACTCCAACATGTAGTGAAGTGAGGAGAAGAGGGAAATATGATGGAGGACAGGATGCTCAATGTGGGTATGATGGTTCCTCAAAGGCGTGACCCTCCGCACCCCGCATCCCGCATCACATCAAACAATAACAACTTGCAGCATCTTTAATGCAGTAAGAATGCCCCTCTGTGTTCCATTGGAGTACTGATCCAGCATAAAATGACACTGAATCACATGAGATATAAGCACACTTGGCCAAAAACTTTGTCAAAGATGTAGGTTTAAAGTAGTATCCTAAAACAGGTGAGAGAGAGGTGGAGAGGTTTAGGGAGGTACTACCAGAATTTAGAGCTCAGATAGCTGAGGGCATGACTGATGAAAGCTGGGGATCTCGGAGATATGGAGGGTATGGAAATATTTGAAAACAAGGACAGAAATTTTAAAATCAAGGTGCCATTGTAGATCAGCGAGTGTTTGGAGGAGGTGGTGTTGACGGTGACCAGGACTTGGTGCAAATCAAGCTGCAAACATCAGAGCTCCCTCTGGGTGAGCTGAGGTTTTTGGGG